TGCTTTTTGTGAAATATTTTTAAGGAAAAATTTATTATTATTATTAAGGACGTCGATCATGTATCGTCAATTTATTTGCTGTTCTGCTGAATGAAGCTGAAGCAAAATAATGCAGACATAAGATGAATTCTGCAACTCTGTACAACATAATTTGGATATATCAACAAAGTTGAAATGGTAAATTGGCCACCGTAATGATTACAAAAGCTGACGTTTCGAGCGTTAGCCCTTCGTCGGAGTGAATAGAGGAATTGTGGGTTGTGTGTGCTTTTAAAGGCAGAAAATGGAGCTACGTTATAGAACTGCGTTATATACGTTGTAGAACAGTTGTTAATACCGAAGAGATTCAAGACTTTTCTCTCAGCTAGAGACTTTTTAAACTTGTTTTAATATTTATACCTTAATTTGTCTTAATTTTGTTTGTTATCCTGTATTTTCACTGATTTTGTGAAATAAATTAATACTATTATTAATTATTATTATTATTATTATTATTATTATTATGCGGTAGTATATACATCTGGATACCCAGAATAAAAACAAAACTCTAGCTGTAGCTGGACGATAAGCCGTGGCCAGCCACAGCGTCGACTAGGATCTATACATATACGTACAATTAGAAATATAAATAGATAAAAATGATTAAAAGAATTCATCATCATTATTATTATTATTATTATTATTATTATTATTATTATTATTATTATTATATAACTCACCACTTTTACGAGTCTGCTGATCTTCATACCAAACGCCACTTCCACGGGTTTTTTTCCTAACACTGGCCGGACATTCTTGTCATAGTCGCTCAGAAGGACGCTGCGGACTTGATGTTCAAATGAGACATTTGATGATCCTAGAACGCCTTGATCTACAAGTAAATTAAATATCAGCATACAAAAAAAAAAGATAATAACAACAGCAATAATAATGATTGTGACGAATGCTCGTGCAAATACCACCATAAGACTTTGTCTATTCGTGGTATGTCTCACCTCTGTGATAGAATAATTATGACTGTGAACTGTAAACTGTAAACATAAATTTTAAAAATGTCTAGCCTATACTTGCCATAGCATTGTCAATTAAAAAATCTGAATCGAATGTCTCAAATGTTCTTCTCTTCTTTCTTGTACCTCTTAAGCATTAGAGGGCGCATCGTAAGATGATATATAATAATATATATTATTACACGACTAGATGATCCTTTGCATTAAATTCAGTTCTTTGGTTTCTGCTTGATCTAGTGTAGTTGTCCTTTGCCGTAGCGCTCGTTACAATTGATAATGATGAAGATAATGATAATAAGTTAATAATACTTATAATAATAATAATAATAATAATGATAACAATAACAAAAGTAAGACTTTACCTAGATCCAAATTATGCATACAAAAAAAGGTGTTGGTACTATCTTTTTTTTAAAGAATCTTTTCAATAAGAACGATCAGGATGAGATTAACCATAATAAACGTAAAAAAAATGTTAAACTGTGGTCTAACTGGACAATTATCTCAAAAACTAGGGGAAATTTTTGGATGTTAATAATGCTGTTATTGCACTACATACGGAAGAACAACTCATTTTGTAGACGAACTTAGTCTGGTCGGGTCCGACTTGATTAATTACCACACAACTCTAGGAATATGTTAGGAACATTTCCAGGTTCGAATCGCGAAGAAATAAGAGCGTTCGGCCTCAACACCAAAATTAGACGATATTGTAAAAAATGAAAAAAGAGAGTACTTCCACGGGTAATTAGTTTCGCGTTTTTAACAACTGATCAGGATTTAAGAAGCGAAAAAAAAAGGCATTGTCTCTTCCCGCCCGATTAAAACCACCTAAAACATTGATTCATACAGCCATTGTCACAAACTTTGACCAGTTATTCGATGCCATCTTGATTAATTTGTATATTAACTGAGGTTAAAGCACTTGTAGCAAAAAGTAGAATCACGCACCAAGAAAGTGATGACTGATAACAAAGGACTCTGGGAACATTAATCAATATGTTACATAAACAAGGGAGTCATGCCGATCACTTTCGTGTTGTTCCCCGAGCAGTTTACAAATGGCCGGCTAACAGAGACTTGACCAAAACAAAGGTAACTTTATTAATCATTAATAGCTATGGGAAAAAAGCTCGAGCGAATTGTTTGTAATGCGTTTGCAAGTTGGTAAAACATTCAGTACGTTGATTCTTAGTGACTTGGAAGGTCATGATTAAAAGCTGACATACCGCAGTAAATAATGAATGCTGAAAGACAACATCGAACGTACGTATGTCTAAACAAAAAATAAGCAATTTCAAATCTCAGTAGAGGCCATTACGAACAAATACAGTTAAAATTTTGAATGACTTATTTGATTTTTCGAGAGAAAAAAATTAAGAGGCAGACAATTCTACATCCGTTTCAGCGGTTAATTAATGCCGCGGATTTAAAGCGATTTTCGAAGCCAAGATAAGGTAAGAGAATAAAAAAAAAATGGTCATAAAGTGAATCAAAAATTTCAATTTCAAAGTTTTCCGAGTTAACATTTTAGTAATAATGGCATGAACGTTAAAAAAAAAAAAAGATCCACTCGCAAAATCACGGGTTTAACGTTTAGTTACAATGGTACCGCTAAATGCACCGAGAGTGTTACATGATGAAAAAGAAATTGCTCCTAAATGCTTACCTCTAGCAAAAAGTCCTTGCAAAAACCAAAATACGAGGGAGTAAAACATCTGGGCGCTGATTTCTTTAAAAAGTTCCTGGTGGAGATCTGGTGTTACCGCGTTCAAGGAATGGTGTTTTCAAAATGCTGAACTAAACCTAGCACACGGACTTAATTATGTAGGACTTTACAATCGCGTTAGTGGCTAGATTGTTGTGCAAATTAACTTCTTTTATCAATACCCAGCAAAGATCTTTACGTTACGTCAAGGATTTTGAATACCTCATTCTGGTGTTTGTTTGTTTGTTTTTTTTTTTTGTACAATGTCTCGAGGGAATAACTGTAAACAGAATCGATGCCCCTTGCGAAAATCTATTGACTCTAAATTTGGACAAGATGGTCTGAAATCAGGAGTCAAGTAGCTTGTTTCTTTCAAATAAGTTAATGTTTCGGTTCAGTTAATGTTCCGTGGTTCGTGATTTTTTCGGAGAAAGGCTGTGAATAGTCAGGATTAGATAATCTCGTAATGTAAGCATTGACGTCGAAGTTGCTTTCAACGAATTCGAGAAACGTGCCTTGGATGTTCTCACCCAGATCGCTCAAGAGGGTCATTAACTTGATAACCAAAGCAAAACCTAACAAATCACAAATTTCATGTTTGTATTTTGGAGAGAGAAAAGACTTTTATTTACATAGGAAAATTAAATGTTCCGCTTTTGTTTGTCAGGCTCCCATGAAGTGACAGCAAAATAATTGCAGTTACCAAATAGTAATTTGAATTTGAAAGGTGTACTTTTTTATTTACTTTGTAAGAAAAGAAAATGATTTTAAGAATTTTTGTCGCCATGCCTACAGGAAACCGTTAGAACGTGAAAACACTATAAATTGAAACAAAAATCATTTAAGAGCGTAGTAATCAATACTGTTATATCCCCGAGAACGAAATTAAAGTTTCTGAAGTAATTTTCCTTCGAAATCAATATCCACTGGAAGTAATTTTTAATTGATATGGTTTCCATAACAGTCTATTATCAGATCTGTTCGCTGCAATCTATGAAGTATATTCGATAAAACAATGAGAAGATTCTCTTGATTAAACTCAGATAGGTAAAGCTTGCTTTGATTAACGAAATCTTTTCCGGGTGAACTTGATTTGGAGAGGGGCGTCCAAAATTTTCTGATAATTGCGGGTTAAAAATGATTTCTTTTCGTCGCAGGATTCAGCTTGTGTTAGGCTCTGTCTGTTCAGTTGCAAGTTATGCTAATGAAAAAGCGAGTACTGATTATCTATTCATATCACTGTCATTTGAAACGACCGCCACCGATATAATAACTGAGAAAAGAGGTTTTTACGATTCACCTACTCATAGAAGGCATGCTTAACGCTCGAAAAAATTAAGTGAAGGAAATGGCATCATTATCAAGAACTTTGTTTTTTTTTCTGTTAAAAAATAAGAAGCATATCTTCCGGTTGCCATAGGTACTAAAACACTTAAAAAAAAAAAAAAAAAAAATTACAGGTGAATTTGATTTGAAGGAATAACCACAGGTCATTGGTTATATAATTCATAAATAATAGATTAGAAAAATATAATTTAAAATAATTACCCGATGCTCTACCAATTGAGCTAACCGCCTCCCGGTTAGCTCAATTGGTAGAGCGCCGGACTGTTGTGCGGGAGGTCGTGAGTTCAAATCCGGCCGGACCAACACTCAGGGTCTTTAAATAACTGAGAAGAAAGTGCTACCTTTGTAATAATAATATCTGCAAATGGTTAGACTTTCTAGTCTTCTCGGATAGGGACGATAAATGGAGGTCCCGTCTCACAAGCCCTTGTATGTGATAAAACTAAAAAAAATTTGTGGGACGTTAAAGAACCCACACACTGTTCGAAAAGAGTAGGGCACGTAGTGCCCGGTGTTGAGGTCTATCTTTGTGTAGTGTCTATCAAATTGATGGGGGGTACTGCGCCTTTGAATATTGTATAGAAAGGGCGCAATATAAATAAGGAATTCATTCATTCATTCATTCATTCATGCGTTCATTCATGTTGTACATCCAAGTCATGCCAGGATCCTAACATGGGAGGAAGCCGGAATGAAAGAAAAAAATGGTCAGTGATTTCGAGCTGCAGACTAAAAAAAGGGAAGTGAAAAGTTATTCAAGGCAGCTTTACTCGGGGTTAAAAAACACTTTTATTTTTTACATTAGTTTGTATCACCCTAAGAAGGAGCATGTAGCGTTTCTATTACAGGTGATTCTTTCGACAGCATCGTTTCGTCCAAATTTGCCCTTGCTTTACTTCAATGCCAGCGTCATGCTAAAGCCATCAGGAATGAGCAAGAGATTATAAACTGAGCAACCATCTTCTGGAATCTCACGGTGTTTGTGGTAGAGAAAAGAAAAGTAGTGTGATAGTATTTCATTCTAGCAGTTTGTGTGTTTATGCAATGAACCATGAACAGATTGAGCTGCGGTTAAGCTTTCAATTTTTTTTTTATATATATATTTATATATTTATTTCTACAAACCTTAGCAGAAATAGATACAAGGTGAAAAATAAAGTAAAAGATATAAATTTTTCAAGGAAACAATACAGAATTACAGAAATTAGATTAAGTCACATGGTACATAGGAAGAGAGGAGGAGGGCGCGTCTAGATCACACTAATATTGTGCCCCTTGAATTACGCCAGTATAACAAAAAAAAGAAATTTGTAATTTAAAAAGTAAAGGAGAATTTATAAAATAGATTAGTAGATTGTCAAAGAGATGATGTTTCATTAGTATTGAGCAAGATACCAGCATAAAAGTGCTTTTCTAAACATCTTTTTAGATGGTTAGTCTTAAATTAATTGCGGAATGCTATTTTAAAAGAATCTTTCAATAACTCTCGGGCAGAATCTCGTGGGATTAGTTCGAAATGAGGGTATGACTACTTGATTAGATGATGCACTGCGGGTATTGTAGCTATGTAGCTCAGTTACTAGTGAAACAGGTAATCCCGTACAGGCCTGAAATTTTTTTCAGGTCTGATTTCCACTATTGCTCAAATAGTGCTTTACTGCGAAGGATCGTTCTCATATACGTCTCATAACCGCAGTTCACACATATGTTTCATATGTTTGTTGTTGTTTGATTTATCATCTACGGGTTTATATCGAATTAATTTGATGGCCTGCTCCCAGTTGGCTTGTTAGCTCAATTGGTAGAGCGCTGCACTAGTATCGCAGAGGTCAGTGGTTCGAATCCCGTACAGGCCTGAAATTTTTTTCAGGTCTGATTTCCACTATTGCTCAAATAGTGCTTTACTGCGAAGGATCGTTCTCATATACGTCTCATAACTGCAGTTCACACATATGTTTCATATGTTTGTTGTTGTTTGATTTATCATCTACGGGTTTATATCGAATTAATTTGATGGCCTGCTCCCAGTTGGCTTGTTAGCTCAATTGGTAGAGCGCTGCACTAGTATCGCAGAGGTCAGTGGTTCGAATCCCGTACAGGCCTGAAATTTTTTTCAGGTCTGATTTCCACTATTGCTCAAATAGTGCTTTACTGCGAAGGATCGTTCTCATAAATGAAACAGGTATATTAGGAAACTTTTCATTGTGTAAATAATCATGAAAAAGCATACACGTGTTCAGTTAAAAAATATCAGGAAATTTCTAAAAGCTTAGAGATAAGTAGTGTGGAGTGATTGATTCCATTAAAGAAACATCATTTATAATACGAACTGCTTTGTCTTGTAATTTTATGATTTGAGACATTGGAGTATTATAATTATTTCCCCATAGTGTACAAGCATAAGTAAGGTAAGGATATATAAGAGAATAAGACAAACTAATAATTGTTGCTTCTGAGACATGAAGTTTTAACTTAACCATTATATTTAAATATTTATCTAATTTTGCCACATATGCAGTCAATATGATCACGCCAAATAAGATAACGATCGATATACACACCAAGGCATTTGACACAAGAAGACTTCTCTAAATGAACATTCGCTACACTTAATGGTGGGTACAATTGTAATTTTCCTCTTGACGGGGCATAAAGATAAGATACTTAGTTTTGTCAAATTTATGGTCAACCTATTACTGTATAACCATTCGTAGACAGCTAGCAAATGATTGTTAATTTCACACAATAAATTGACAAGATCATTTCCAGAAGCTGTTAAAGATGTGTCGTCTGCATATCATCTTATAGAAAAATAAGCAGAAGACTTGGGAAGGTTTTTAGAATGAACTAAATATTATGCGATTCGTAATTTGGTCGTTGCAGATGATTTATCAAAGTTATAACCCTGACTAAAAATAACGCGATTTGTGATTGGTCTTTGTCCATACTCTACCACAGGTTTGAGACGAAACTGCATACTACGCGGGTTTTTATTGGTAGTTGCCTAAAAAATCTATCAGTTTATTTTATACATTCTACATTTCTGCGAGTGGTCGTGTGCCACTTTTCTGCTCTCATGACATTTTTATGTCATCCTCGAATTAACGGAATGGTCATTATTTACCGCCCTTGGAGAACGAAGGATTTTGATTGTGTCACGATAAAACTATCTCATCCTCCCATAAGACTCTTATGATTTACCCCCCCCCCCCCTTTGGCTGTTTATGGGCGGTCAATTTTCAATAAGCCCCCATCTGTACTCTACAGCCCAAAAATCGTGTGAATCCCTTTCAGCCCAGACACACGGTTAAGCAAAATCTCTTTGTTAAATAAAACGCGAGGATAATGACTCTTTAAGTTGTGAATGTTACAGCGTACGTAATTGACGAAATAATAATGAAGACTACAAAAAACACGTGATCCAATTTCATTGACACCCGCCGCCATGTGAATTCTGGGACTATTGACGCTTTAACCAATGGCGAGCTTCCTCTGCTGAAGTCATTCAACTCGACACCAGCCACCGTTGCTAAGGACCTCGCGGCTGATGGATAAACACTACTTGGTCGTGAGGTGGCTCCTGGACTCTTTTTAAAGCTGAGAAAGTTGCAGAATTTTTCGACCCATAAAGGCGGCGTTCCTTCCTTGAAGTAAACTCTCAGGACAAAGATGTTTGCGAAAAGGATCACAGCTATTAAGATCATGGTGGCTTGGAGGTTTACTCCCAGGACTGGGAGGCCATCCGAAGTCACCGGAAGGAAAGAAGGGATGACGAGCAGAAACACAGTCATGGCCAACAGAATAGTTGTCACGAAGCCGATGCGTTCGCCGCTCTCGACGTGGATCAGGAAGCTGCTGAGCGCAAGGATCGTGAGTAATACTGAGGGAATGAACACGTAGAACATGTAGTAGAGATATTTGCGTTCCATCTTCAAAGTGTACACCACTTCGCTGAAGTTTAATGGACAACAGTTACCGTGATCAGTTTCGTTTAAGCTTGGTGTGATATTTGTTATGTCCCAGTCTCCGTTCCTTACAAAGCGAGCTGGAAAATGAAAAAAATTATCAGTCTAGAGTGACTGAAGGGGATAGTTAAAGGAGAGAGGACTACTGATCACTGATAGGTCAGCGGCAGGGAAATGAGCACTGCATATTCATGTAAGACATAATAAGGGTTAATCAGAAAATGGCATAGGGCATGGTATTAAAAATGATGATGGATAAACTAAAATCACGTCAATATTTAGGAAGAGACTTTTAGAGAAAGGGACTTACTACAGAAGGTGGCTTATTTTGAGAAGAAGCTTATTGGAGAAAGGGCTTATTACAGAAAGGGCCTTATTTTAGGCTTTTAGAGAAAGGGGCGCAGCAAAGAGGGGGGCTTATTTAAGAAGAGACTTTTAGAGAAAGGGACTTACTACAGAAGGTGGCTTATTTTGAGAAGAAGCTTATTGGAGAAAGGACTTATTACAGACAGGGCCTTTTTTTAGGCTTTTAGAGAAAGAGGCGCACCAAAGAGGGGGGCTTATTTAAGAAGAGACTTTTAGAGAAAGGGCTTACTACAGAGGGGGATCGACTTATTTGACTAGAGGCTTATTAGAGAAAGGGGCTTATTACAGAGAGGGCCTTACTTTAGAATAGGCTTTTAGAGAAAGTGGTTTATTATAGAGGGGGGGGGCTTATTTCAGAAAGGGCTTCTTGAAGAAAGGGGCCTACTACAGAGGGGACTTATTAGAGAGGAGGCTTTTAGAGAAAGGGGCTTACTACAGAGAGGGGCTTATTTGAGAAGGGGTTCATTAGAGAAAGGAGCGTATACAGGGGCGGGCTTATTTGAGAGGGTGCTTTTAGAGAAGGGGTTCGCTAATAAAAGAGGTTTATTAGGGAGGGGAGAGTTCATCAGAGAGGGGGATTTATACATTTTTAAAGGAGATAATCTGTTCCCTCACCCATAAGCGACACCAGCCAGCACCAGAGGAAAAAGAGGTACTACTTACTTGAAAACTGTTTATTGTCTTTGAACAGCCTTATCTTCAACAAGTTCTTTCCATACGTGTACGAACCAAAAGCCAGTTGACACATTTGTTGGTCAAACGGCCAGTCATCAATCTCCATCTCACAGTTCACTTTAAAAGTAGCTGGTCCGCTCCAAACACATCTCCCTTTGCTGTCCACACCAACATCAGTGACGAACTTACTAATTCCGCCGGCCAAGTTGATTTCATCATCGCCACTGAAGACAAACGAAAGACAATGTTAACACCTTTACAACGTAACATCAGTAGGCATATTCTCCATACTATTCTCTATACATTTCCGAAGGTGCTGACAAAGAGAATTTGTTTAACAATCAAGAGCTTATTTATTTGGTGATCATTTCTTTAATTCTCGTCAACTTATGGATTTTAATCAGGGGAGATATTTCATGGAGAAATTAACTTCTTGTCGCTCTTGCGGGCCAAAAGGGTAATATGGTCTGTAACTCCCAAATTTTTCATTTGTATTGTGAATCATGCCCGGCTATTTTACACTTCCTTGAGCTAAAAGAATAAGTATTTAATACAAGGAAAAAACCACGGATGATCAATTCGTAGATTCTCAATATCTCACTTTTTTGCTGGACGATGTCTTTCGATATCCCGAGGAGAAATCAAACACAAAATACTTCCGGAAGTTATCTTCACACACAAGTCTTTTCAAAATCGATGAGGCGACTTGCAAGATTTGCTGGAATGTTCAGCACTCTCAAGAAAATTGGCCGCATTTTGTCGTGGAGCCAGCAGGGTGATATCAGAAAAAGAAGAAGAAGCCAGGATTAAGATTCAAATCATTCAAGAAACTCCTTTATTGCTTTGTGTAAAAATCAATGAAGATGATGGTAGGCATCTGCACCAAAAGATAATTTCCTGAACACGAATCCCTCACAGAGGTGCGTCATTTGCGTGCAAACTCTCGTCATCAAACACAGCTGAAAAAAAAGCGAATATTTTCCCTCAATAAATCTTACTTGTTGAACAAGGCTATATCCGGAACCCAGATTTCATCGGGAGCGAAGTGCACCCGATCCACATCTCCATAATCACTCGAATTCCACGTAAGAAATTCGTTTTTCCATTCCTGCAAATGACAAGAAATGTTTCAAAATTTGCAAAATATTGAAAAATTTTAATACGAGTAAATCAATCGCAAAGTCCCGCAAAACATGACTATGTGCGTCTGTCAGCCTTCTGTTATTCAGGTAAATGCCAACCTTCAATATTTTCAGGAAAGCCAAATAGGGCACACTGAGTAA